TGAGGTCTCACTTTGGCTCAGGCTGGTCTCGAACTCCTGAGCTTAGGCAGTCCACCCACCTCAGCCTCCCAGAATGCTAGGATTATAGGCATGAGCCACCACGCCTGGCTCCATTTGCTCTAAAATTTTAATGTAGTATGTGTGATAAGTACTAGAATGCAAACAGAATTGTTTAATGTATCCCTCAGTTAGTCATTGTCTGTTATAAACATGATTGGCTTCTACAGAGAAGCTGAAACAGCCTCAGTTACTCATCATTTTTAGTATTTCACCTCAGATTTGCTAGATTTAGACTTTAGTTTTTTATAGCTCAACACCGTATCACTGAGCACCATGATTTTTTCCCCAAGGACAGTATTTATGATGTTACACTGATGATCACTTACACCTCCACAGTCAGTCCACCAAAGGCTGTGTCTGTATATATATTGTGAAATAGAACAGTCATATGGGTATGGCCAATAATGACTGCAGATTGACTAGATGTAAATAAATGTTACCTTTCTAAAACCCACTTCTTGTACAAGCTGATGCCAGTATAGAAGAGAAGCAATTTAAAGTTTAAGTAGATTTCCCTGGCCAAGAAAGCTAAAATGTTTGTGATTTGAAATGTGACCAGATATACTCTATTAATTAAAACAGTTTAGGATAGAACTATCCTAGCTTCTTTAAAACCTGTCTATAGGGTGGCACCTGTGGCTCAAAAGGGTAGGACGCCGGTCCCATATGCTTCAGGTAGTGGGTTCAAACCCAGCCCCAGCCAAAAATGGCAAAAACCTGTCTATGATTTTATCATGTACTTTGGTAATGATATGGTAAATAAACCATTTCAAATTCAGAAAAACCTCACATTTTATTCTCTCTATAATACTGTGATTTCAGCTTCTAATTATAATTGATGTGGTCACTGACAGTAACTAATTATCATTAGCAGTTTCTAGACTGGGCCTTCTGTCACAGGCACCAGGAAGTGCTGTTAGATTTTATAGCTCAGAGCGTAACAGCAGTGGTGTTTCTCAGCTGTGCTTCAGAAATATCTAAATGAGTGTCAGTATCAAAATGTTGGAACGTTTACTTGGCCATGAAGGAATGAGCCTTTTTATTCCATAAAATTCTCAAAATACCGAGTACATGTATTAGTGTTATTTAGTGAGAGAAGAAAGCTTACAGTAAAATTTCGAACTATATGTAGGATATATATTTTAGTATATGTACAAGTCAGCATTTCAAATCTCCTCCTAATAAATGGATAAATTCCATTATCAAGGGTTTATTAGAAGGTGATTCCCATTCACTTTGCAGACACAGTTAAATGAAGTACTGACCTCACTAAAGGCTAAAACTTGTGTCATAGAAGTGCGGGGTGCTTTAAACTGGACTTTGTTTTCTAATTGTTAGGCTCTTAAGTTGGTCAACTGTAAAGAGAGACAACTATTAATTATAACAGCTTTACCCTTACAAGGACTGAAGGAAACTTTCACATGACAACCCCACAGTGATAATGTATCTTACGATAATACTCAGGCAAAGAAACTGCATAGATTACTGCAGACATTTCCCCAGCTTTTCTGCTTGCTTGTATTACATGCTTCCCCATGTAATCTGTACATCCTTTCCATTTTCTCCCTTCTTCTCTGGCCTTGGTTCTACCTTTTCCTAAATGGAAATCTCCCAAACTGAAATGGCCAGATTAAACTCCAGAGTGCTAAGGAAGAGGATTATTAAGAAACTTTAAAAGGGGGATTGAGGCATGATTCCAAGGCTTTCTTAGAAGGGCTACATCCAGTTTTTTTGTTTGTTTGTTTGTTTTTTAGCTAGAGTCTCACTTTATCTCCCTCAGTAGACTGCTGTGGCGTCACAGCTCACAGCAACCTCAAACTCTTGGGCTTAAGCGGTTGTCTTGCCTCAGCCTCCCAAGTAGCTGGGACTACAGGTGCCGGCCATACTGCCCAGCTATTTTTAGAGACAGGGTCTCCTTCTAGCTTAGACTGGTCTCGAACTTATGAGCTCAGACGATCTACCTGTCTTGGCCTCCCAGAATACAGGGATTACAGGTGTGAGCCACCATGCCCGGGCTCTGCATCCAGCTTTATTGGCGTAGTTTGGATCTTTGTGAAGGTTGCACATTTGTGGAGGAGAGTGGTAAAACGGAATATTACAGGTAATTCCATCAAAAGTCTCAGTTTTAGGACAGCCTATCAGATCTTTTATGTGGGATTCTTTGGGTAAAGGTGTGGCTTTATCCAGTGACATGGTTATCTTAGAGGGCTGGAGCTGCTGAGTCTGGCTGGTACCTGCTGCTGATTTGGATGTGGCCCACCAAGGGAAACACTTTGGCTTTTGGTACTTAAGAGTTTCTATACCTTGGAAATTTTCACTAAAAGGCAGTATGCAGTTGTTGTAGATTTTCCCCTAGACAATGAGAAATGAAACCTGATCTAGAGTGTCTAAGGCAGAATCATCTTCAAAATCAGTCTGAGGGTTGTGTGTGCAGATTAAAGGTGTTGTGGGCTCCATGCCTGTGGCTCAAGTGGCTAAGGCACCAGCCACATACACCTGAGCTGGCAGGTGCAAATCCAGCCCAAACTCGCCAAACAACGATGACGGCTGCAACCAAAAAAATAGCCAGGCGTTGTGGCGGGTGCCTGTAGTCCCAGCTACTTGGGAGGCAGAGACAGGAGAATCACTTGAGCCCAGGAGCTTGCTGTGAGCTGTGATGCCACAGCACTCTACCCAGGCGACAGCTTGAGGCTCTGTCTCCAAAAAAAAAGATTTTGTGGACCATTTTCCTCCTCTCCCATGCCCTCATCAAGGACAAGTTTTGCATTTGAGTCAAACTGCTCAAAGGTAGGATTATAGGTATTGAAGGCTAAGTTACTACCCAAATTAGATGAATGACAACTCCTTGTTAATATCTTTAAGTGACAAGTTATTGAAGAAAATGTTCCATAAACCTTGATTAGCCCTAACAAAGCTACCATAATCTGTTGCATGTTGCAACAGGAGAAGATGCATTTCAAGGGAAAATTGGAAGACAAGTAGACCCTATAGAAATAATCTGGCCACCTAGAATCTGGGGCTATGGAAACTTCTTTCCTGTCAAACAGCTCATCAGTATTGGATAGCACCAGGGGGCCCATATCCATGAAGATACTTTCTGTGTTGAGTGAAGACCCAGTAGTGAAGCTTGGTAAGGGTAACCCTGAGCTTGGTACTTTTCAGAGAGACCAGGCTGCCATAATGTGCACCATCTATCAAACAGCCCTCACTTACCTTAGATACTCTCCAGAGGCCAATCTTTGGAACAGATACTAGGGATGTGACCAGCATCACCAATTTCCTTGTTGCCCAGTGATTGCTCAAGGATTAGATCTCCTTGGCAGTAAACATCAGTAGTAAAGTCAGAGAAGGGTGTAATCTGTCATATTTGTGGTCTAAAGACCTCTTAGGATGGTGGGCATGAAGGAGTTAGTGTACACATGGGTCTTTTGGAGGTGAAAAGGCCAAAGTGAGCCCAGGCACTGCTTCTGGGAGTAGACAGGCACCACCCATGGTGCCAGCCAGCACCTTGACAGGGCTCTGAACCACCTCCAACTTACTTTCGGAATTTATGATTGTTTTAAATGCTTGATAGTGAGTGAGGTGTTTTGTTTTTCTTTCTCTTTAAAAGAACAGTCTCTCAGATTAATTTATGAATTCCTACTGAAATCAGATAGCTGGTAGGCTATTCCTTCTTATTATATGTGATCTTTTTAGGTAGGTTTTGAAAATCATGACTGTGTTCCCTTTGGTCACCCTGGATTGGGCTGCCTTTGGGAAGTACTAGTAATAACTGTTCCTTATGAGCCAAATTTCCCTTCCTATTGTATTACTGGAGATTTCCTTTATGTTGCAACTAAATAATACATTTCCCTGGGGGGAGTTGCTGCTTCAGATCTTTGGTTGCCTGGGGTCCTCTGTGTTGCTATTTTTGTATGTCTTACCTTGTTTATGATATTGCTTGCTCTCGTTTTGGTTTGTTGCCTGATGCCTCAACAAGTCCTTTTTTTTTTTT